TTATCAATATTAGCTCATACTGACTCAAAAACACCTTAGCCCTGTCCTGGGGCAAAAAGTCGTTAATTTTGATGATAAAAGGCTTCGACACCAAAGAATTTCCGATTAACTACCCATTAAGAATAGTACGGTTGCCAGAATAGTCTAGAAGTGCAAAACATTTAGGATGACATAGAATATAACAGCTTTTTCATAGACATGGAGCACGCGATAATGGACGGATCACGGCAACCTCTGCAAAAGCCAATGACTCCACGGTAACCTCCACCAAAAATCAGCTTGGAAGCGAGGGAAGAATATAATCTTCGAGTTTCTGTGCGAATTATAAAGAATTGGATCGCTTAAAATGGATTTGAATAGCGAGAAACATGGAGAAATCCATTTATCAGCCAAGGCCTATATTGTGGACAGGTCTAAATGGGCTAAAAAGCATGATGATTGGACTGCTAAACGTTAGAAACTCCTGATATTGTTCAACGACGTCAACATCAACCTGTTTGTTTCAAATTGGGACCAGTGGAATGTGGATTCAGCAAAGAGACGCTGACAAACCCAACGACCATACGCTAAGCGTTATGGATGGGGGTGGAAATCGAATTGTTTGGGCGTTACATTTAGGAAGGGCGTCCGAAACTTTAATACAATCGAAGTAATAATGTACGCCAACTACTACTGCGACGTTCTGGGTTGGAATTTGATAGTAACAGAAGGAAATAACCGCCGGGGAGTAATTATATTTTCAAATAGTAAGGCGATCCTAAGCACCTATCAAAATTATAGAGGATTTGGTTTAGAACAAAAGAGATTTAATTGTTGAATTGCATTCCATAATCATCGGACAGCATGCCAATAAACATTTATGGTCGATGGTGAAGCCCAAAATTTTTTAGCACACGCTATCAAACCTCAAAGTCTGGCCGATGCTATAAAGCTTGAATTGGTGAATTTTGACACCTCTTTCACCAGCTCATTTTTTTAGTCGATTCAAAGACGTTTCCTTGCCTTCCTAAGGGATCGAGGTGGACATTCCAGTTGCTAGTTTGACTGCAATTCGACACAGAAAACTTTGGACACATTTTTCATGAAACTTTAATAGGGGTGTAAAGACTTTTTTCCAGTTGGAATTTTAGATATAATTCCACCGTGTCGTTTCTTGTGCCACACCGTCATTCAAAGTATGGGTCCGGAAACCTTGCGTCATGATAAGTAATTGTGCAAAATTGCAGTTCAACCCCTCAAGCTTCTCGAACAATATCATGCTTGAAGTAGAAAAAGTATGAGGGTATAATGACTTTCTGCCGATACTGTAGACCCTATAGTGTTGCAAAAATACCTGGGGGTGTGCCCCGTACAAAATATATATATATGAATGACGACTGGGACCCAGGAAATTCATTTCAAAAAATTTATTGACCACACCCCTTATGGGGGGAGTTACTCCCTAAGGGGTGCGATCGTCATATTATAATATTGTTTTGATCAGCAACTCATACTAACTCTGAATTAAAATTTTTGAGGATTAAAAAAATTTTCTGGCCGAGATGTAACCGTTTATGCATACTAAAACGTGGGTTTTCTGGCCACCTTGAGTGGGTGTAACACCGAAGGTCGCAGCTACCCGACCAGGCTATTTCCGGTTCTTCATTCCTATGGTAGGGTACTACAATCCTGAAAGAAAGGTCCGTCGGGAACCTGCTACCTCCAGAGTTACACCCCCTCAAACTTTTTCAGGAAAGTGCAATATTGAAGTTATTAATTAACGTAGTTTTCGAATTTTTTTTAGTACATTTGGGATTCAAACGAACTTATCCAACTTTGTTTAAAATTTTACATCTCGAATTTCGCTAAAAATTTTTCGAAAACTACGTTAATTAATAACTTCAATATAGTACTTTCCTGAGAAAGTTTGAGGGGGTGTAACTCTGGAGGTAGCAGGTTCCCGACGGACCTTTCTTTCAGGATTGTAGTACCCTCCCATACGAATGAGAAACCGTAAATATCCTGGTCGGGTAGCTGTGACCTTCGGTGTTCCACCCCCTCAAAGTGGCCAGAAAACCCACGTTTTGGTATATATAAACGGTTGACGGTTACATCTCGGCCAGAAATGTTTTTAATCCTCAAAAATTTTAATCCAGGGTTAGTATGAGTTGCTGAGTATAAAAATATAAAAATTGACGACCACACCCCTGGGGGAGTAACTCCCCCCATAGGGGGTGTGGTCGCTAAAATTTTTTGAAATGAATTTCCTGGGTCCCAGTCGTCATTCATATATATATTTTGTACGGGGCACACCCCCAGGTATTTTTGCAACACTATAAGGTCTAATAATACATTGTCCACGGGGAGGAGACAATGACTCGGAGAAAAAACATTTTCCTATTTTCGACCAACATCTCGCAAAGATTCGTCATTGAGTTTGAGAAGAATTGACTTTAAAAATGAAATTTAGGTGCAATAGAATCGCCATGATTTTTGGGCTTTGTATTTTTACGTTTTATACATAAACATAAACTCATTAATATTTATTTAAGGAATTTGCGCTAATTATTAACGAAACTTGAATGGAATTTAGTTCGCATAGCATAATAAGTATCGACTTCAACTTGGTTAAAATTTGTGAAGTACGTTACTTCACGGCATTTATAATTCCACCTACACCCCCACTCCACCCCCATTTATATCCCCCCATATCTTCAACAGCTAAAATTGCGTCGGAGAATTTGCTCTGACTGATTGTCTCCATCATCTGCTCATGCTGTGTATGATCTCCTCGGTCCCCTATCCTACAATTCTTATGTCCCCAGATGGCCCCGAAGTTTCCGCGGCTGCTGGCGTCAAGTAGAGATTAAGGGCAAATATTAATGGCGACCCTAAATGACTGAATGGGATACCCTATATACTAAACCCTACGTTGGACTGAATGGCCTTCCCTAACTTGCCAATAGCCATCCTTATTTATCTTAAACTTTACCCTAAGGTCCCAATATATTTTAATAACTAAATTATACATACCAACGTTGTACACAATTTACCAACCCGTTGGACAAATTTTACGTACATAACTTTGGACAAAATTTTGGAATTCCAATTTTTAGAACGGTTGGATAAATTTTACCTTTTGGTTGTGTCATCTACTTTTTAACCTTGAGTAAATTATACTTATTTTTATTTAGAGTGTATGTAATCCGTACACACAAGGACAAGAATCAAATTAGTTGATTTCTCTATATAATTGTCAAATAATTAAAAATCAGCATATTTGTGAGCATTTAATCAGACTAGGATACATCTGCAGAGATTTCAATATCTCTGATACTTGCAAAAACGTACCTCTTCGGTTAAAACTGGAGCCCAAAGAAATGCAAGTGAGCCCTTGTTGTTGACGAATTTTTGGTTAATTTAAGAATCAATTCTGAGAAATGGTCTTAATAAATCATAAGCGAGATGTAATTACCTAAAAAATGATGTAAATCAACTATCAGAACCTTAGGGTCGAGATTCAGTTATTAGCTATTATTTTCGACCTGTTAGGGTAGGCCATTCAGTCCACCGTAGGGTTTAGTTCTTAGGGTATCCCATTCAGTCATTTAGGGTCGCCATTAAATGCGACCCAGAGATTAATTGTAAGTCACGTGGCGACCTCGTGGAGCAAATTGGTCACGCAAGACTAACCTCGCCGCACCGACCCTGCCCTACAGAGGTACAAACGCTGGTGTAAAAATTAAAGGACGCAATTTTCTTATGGTATTTCTTATCAAATATTGAAAACTGTGTCGAAATGAATGGATTTTTTTACAAAGTTAAACATCTACATTATAAGCTGGAAATGTTTGTCTGCAACGGAAGTGAAAGTTATTTTCCGAAACGGAAGTGAAAGTGGAGAAAGTGATTTGCATATCAGCTGCGTTGGTGCAAGCGGTTGGAAAGTCGATAAGTTAGTTATCCTTGGCTTGATGGTTATCAGCAAGGGAAGGTAGCACAAACTCTTAATTGTGGTTATCTGGTCGCTGTGGGGATTGGGAGGGTTTGCCCCCTTGGGATATGGTTATCGCTCTGCTGGGGGGAGTGGGAAGGTGTGCCCCCTGGGATATGGTTATCGCTCTGCTGGGGGGAAGCGAGGGTGTGCCCCCCGGGATATGGTTATCGCTCTGCTGGGGGGTGGGAGGGGTGCCCCCTGGGATATGGTTATCGCCTTGCGGGGGGAGGCGAGGGTGTGCCCCTCTGGGATGTGGTTATCGCTCAGGGGGGATGGGGTATGCCAGACATTATCATTTATATTTGCCTATTATCCCAGTGCTGGGTGTGAAATTTTGGTGAAGTCACTTTCCGAAGGGACATTAGTCCCTTCCCTAGTAGCACATACCCGAGTTTTATTCATAAAAAAACACGAGAATCCGAACCCGAAAAGTCGTGTAAAACACGAATGAATTAGGAGTCAAAGTGGGAGAATTTACATGGTAGATGTCCCACTTTTAGAGGGCTAAACTCGAAAAAAACTCGTATATATCTGGGTGAAAAGTATGGAATGACACGTGTTTAATTCGGATATTTTCAGTGTCATGCTCGTGTCGATTTGGATGATTATTCGTGATTTAAAGGCACACAAACTCGTATATTACACGTGAAATTAGTATGAAAAAACACCAGAATTTTTCAGTTTCCCTTTATTTACATATACGGTCTTAAGGTTAGATTAATCGCAAAACCAAATGATAAAAACGATATTAGGCCAGACGATGCGACATGTCCTCATCTTCCGCAATGTGCTCATTTCCGGAACATCCATCGGGTCGTCCAGTTCTGTTTGTAAATCAATAATCAGGTTAGGTAACATTTATCCGTATTTATCCGTATATTTCTCCGTATACTTCGAAACCATCATTCTTACGGTTTGAGTCTTTTCGGCGCAGTTTTTAGCCATTCCTTCATAACTTCTTCCACCTCGTCGTCTGTCACCTGCTTCGATTTCCTGGCGTGATATAGCCTAACAGAATCTATAGACAGAAAAATTATACTCCAAGTAAATCCAGGAGAATTTGTGAATGACTTGCCCAAAATAATTGACTTCATCCATGTCTCCTTAAATCCCACTTTGCCACCACGCGATCCAATCCAATTGTAGTTACAGGCCAATTCATCGGTGCACAAACAAGAAAGCACCTTCCGAGTGCACGAAGAGACACTCTTTCCCCACTTCTGGCTGAGATATTGTACCTAATTTAAGTGCATGCGTAACTAAACAGTTTTACGTCATAATTATTAAACATGTTAGAATTTCCGGCTTACTAAAGATTCCCGACTATCTGAAGAAGAATAAACCTTCTTTCCATTTTCAACATCATCCAAAGTCTTGCATGGTAACTCGTGGTGAACATTTTTTGGTTGGGAATTTTTATATTCAGTCCTTTCCCCAAGTTGTAATAGAATACCGTCAAGACTGTTCTGAATTTGTCGGTTCTGAGCTTTCAAAATGGTAATATTTCTAGCCACCCAGTTTTGAAAGTCCTTATCTACATATGCATATGGGAAATCAGTTATTCATTACCTACATATGTACATATGCACAACGAATTGTCTGTAGCTCATATTAAAAGAGTTATAAAAACCATGTGCTATACCTGGATGACAATTTTGCAAAGGGGTGGCAGTAAAAGAATCATCCCGGTTATCCCCACCGTTATCGTTTCTGTATTCAGTAGTAGCCGGAACCTGAAGCTCATTCAAAACATGGTCCGGTGACGAATCTGAATCAGAAATAGTTTCGTTTGTAGTGCCAAGATTTTCTACCCCAACTAAAATAGATCAAAATAAAGCAATACAGAAAAGTTGAACCAGCATTGTTTTGTTCATTTTTAATTTATTATTACCTAAGCCAAGAGTGAACGGGATCGGGGAGCTGTGAGGTGGGTCATACTTTTTTGCAGAGTCAAAGATCAACTTGTTGATTTTATCAGTGTCTGCATAGTTAATGGAAATGTTAAGCTTAATGAAAATTTAAAAATTTCATCCAATAAGATAATTTATTTTAAACCTTTTGAACCATGTGCAATGACGGGTGGTGGTGGCAGGGTAAAAGAATCCGGATTATTTACTTCGTCGTCAGATGAATCACTGTAAGTTGTGTTTTTGTTGGATTTTCTGCTCTTCCTTCCCCGATCGCTGTTAATTTCTGCGTCTGATTGATCCAGAACTTTAGGCAACTTTGAAAGAGCGTCATGATACGAAACTGAAAAAAATAAGCCTGCCAATTAATTTTAATTTAGAATGAGACATTGCATGCAATACAAAATCTAATAAAATCTCAAATAATTTAAGGTACTTACCAAATTGTCGACCACTACCGAGTAATTTGATGGTATGAAGTGACCAGCACTCTTGAACAGGTTCATGTAAGCTGACCGCTTTGACCAGACGGTTGGAATTTTTATAATTTGGCCAAGCGCACTTTTTATTATTTTGGCGTAACCAGGCGGTCGATACCACTTCTACTTCATTTGTTTCCTCAAACTTAACGAGAACAAAGGAGTTGTTGGATGACATTTTTATAAATGATTTAGCGGGGCTGCAAAAAATTCTGTTCCAATTGGCAAGAGAAAAATCTTAATATTCTGGTAGTGTCGAATAACGTTATTGCACTAAGATTTGAAACTCGTCGAATATTTACCTCGGCCGAAAGACAAGGGGTTTTATAAGCGTTGCAGGTATTTTGAAACTTTTGTGCTAAAAATAATTCTCGTGTTCCTTGTTTAAAAAATGCTCTAACAACTACAACACTTTTATCCTCGAGTTCACACACAGAATCGCTCTGTCCAACTTTAACCTTAAATAATCTATGATTAAATTGTTTAAAATACTGAGTATTACTAGGAAGGAGAGGCGAGGAGAAATTGAAGGGACTGGAGAGACCAGGCAGGAGTGCACGGCATGATGCTTTATCCGCTTGGGATTCCCTCTCCACAAGTCTTCTATGAACTTGTTGAAGGGGGCAATTTGAGGATCTCACTAATTTCTTTATTACTTGCAACTGATTTTCGAACTTAAAAGCACTAAATAAATCAACTGGGCCATGATTTTTACAATCATTAGCTAAATGTAGTAAACCGTGCACATTAAATGACAAGTTTTGTTGCCCGTACAGACGACCAAAATGTTTTACAAAATAATGAAGTAGTTGGTCAGCATAATAGTTCAGGGTGTCGTTAAGAATTTTGCTGGACAAAATCGTCACCGCTACATGAAGGCACAAAAAATTTTGATACAGGTCGCTTGAAATATTATTTTTTAGTACAACTGGGCCAGTGTATAGGATGAATTGACGAAACTCAGTTGCCTTCCAGTAGTCCAGGTCTTTGAGAATTCTAGGCTTCCGTGCAAATTCACTGGGAATATATTTTTTTACTCCTACTAGCTGGCTTGAAATTATATTAATTTGGTGAGGACGTAAACGTGCAGGACACTTTTTTCCCTTTGTAAGAAGATATAGGATTTTACGAACTATTCCCAAGCAAACTAAATGCATATATTCACCAGGGACATCTCTAACTAAATCTAAAGTAGTAATTTTATCAATTAAGGTGGTTTCGTTGTGGTGCGCTGGATCATCTTTTTGTCTGAAGGATTCATTTGTCCTTAAGGAATAATTACCGTATGGAAAAATTACACGATTTTTATAATACACACCCTTAATTGTGCATCTTCCACAACAACTATGTCCACTGTGACACTTTACACCAAGGACGAAGGCACGAGCAGGAGCATCACAGATTAAAGCACTAATTTTAATTGTATAATTATCCCCGTTTACCACTATACTGTTGATATTTGCAAGTAGGTTTCGATAAAATCAGATAAATAGCTGATAACTGACTCTGGTTTCCCTTCGCCAGAGTAAATACCAATCACAAATACTTTAGCCCCAACTGAACCAAGAATCGGCCAAAATTGATGAGCCGAACCTTTATAGAGAGGAATTCCGTCTATATTTATTTGCAACAAAATGGTATTATTTTCAATCACTTCAGGACTATTAAGAATTATTTCCTTAATGGATTTAATCCAATCAAATGAGCAATACTGACCAGGTTTAACACTAAATAGAATTGTTTTCCTGGGGGTTTGTAACAATGATCTGCTATCGACAGGTAAACCACTAAAACACTGGTGTTGTTGGAGTAATTTTAATAAATCACTGGTAATATTGTGACAAACTGCCCAACTTTGAAGTGATGGTCGGATATCTATACTTGTTTCAAAATCACTATCACTGTTTGCATCACTTTCAGAAGGTAAATGGTCGCTATTATACGACTCAGATTCAGAAGGTATTTCTTCGTCGGATAAGAAAGTGCCCACTAATTCCGGGGTTGTTAAAGGATTTGATATTCCAACTGGTCGTTCGATTAATGAGGAATTCGAACAAACTGCGTTAAAATCACTTAATGCAATATTTATTGCCCGATTTAATTGTCGCCTGCTAGAGCTCTTCATATTTAAATAAAGTAAAAATATTTGTCGCACTGCTGTGAAGCAATGGCAGCCTCCCTCCAATGCCGCCAAGACGGGGTCAAATTTACACGTCTTAGATACGAAAAAAACACGTGTAAACTTATGTATTTCAATCTAAAAATACACGTGGCAGAAACGAATTTAACACGAATTTTATACGATGGTCTTACTGAAATATTAGCTGGTGTAACTTTGGGAACTTCTACACGTGTTTGAAACGAGTTTGTAAAAATAAAGACACCAATTTTACCCTTAAACGTATTTGACACTAATTTGCCCCACTTTGACTCGTGTTTATCACGGGGAGTGCCACTAGGGTTGTTCTGCATATTTAAGGAACCTTCTGTTCCGTTCAGGCCCATTCAGGCCAGATCCGAAACCAGTGACATAAATTTCGCTAAGTATGGATGACGAGAAGGAGAACGGATTCCGTTCCCTTCATGGGTAGACCATATTCATATCAGATTTAAAGATAGATTACTTCGGCTACATAATTAGGGAATGGAATTCCCTTCCTCTTCTATTCCCCTTGGACATATTTCAGGCGCAGTAGTGAAATTTTCACGTCAATGAAAGGGAAGAGGAATGGAATTCCGTTCCCTTCATGTGTGGAGTATACAGTTATCGTTATGCTGAAAGGAATATGGGATGCTGGATATTAGCTCAGGAGTTTGCCTATCGAAAGTGGTTACACCCCCAGTGTTGGGTGTGATCTGTTTGTGGGGTCGCGCACCTAAATGGCCAGTATATCTGTTTGATTTTGTACCATTGGGATGTAGTTATCACTGTGTTAGGGGTGTGCGGCCTGGAACCCCAGTGAAGTCGTCAAATGAGGGCGAAGGGGAAGGATTCCGTTCCTTCCCCCTTCCCGTTGGATATACTTCAGACGAAGTAGTGACATCTTTGCATGAAGGGAAGGAAAGAGAAAGGAAAGGGAACGGAATCCCCTTCCCGTTGGATATACTTCAGACGAAGTAGTGACATCTTTGCATGAAGGGAAAGGAAAGGGAACGGAATTCCCTTCCCGTTGGATATACTTCAGACGAAGCAGTGACATCTTTGCATGAAGGGAAAGGAAAGGGAACGGAATTCCCTTCCCGTTGGATATACTTCAGACGAAGCAGTGACATCTTTGCATGAAGGGAAAGGGAACCCGAGTGAAAATTATCTCAAGTTTTATGCACAAAATTTGTGGCTACTTGTGCACAAATCTATTGTCCAAAATTGGCTGATTTATATGCACAAAAATATATGCACAAAACGCTATGCATAAAGCTTTATGCATAATATTGTCTGCATATATCGTTATGGTAAAAATTGGTTGGTTTATATGCACACACGATTATGGGCAATCAAGTATGCATAGTAAATTGTGTACAAGAATATATGTCCTTGACATTTTTATTTTCGCATATTTTGATATATAAATTCAATATTAAACCATAAATAAAGTAACTAATTACTCATGATTATATTTCTTGTTTTCCTCCCTCAAAAACTGCGACAAGGACTTGTTGATTTCTTTCTTCGTCGCCTTCTTTGTCTTCAGAAATATTTTATCGGCCTCAATGTTTCCAGTATTTGGATGCTCATCCAGCCCTTCTTCCTTCAACACACAATCTAAAATCAGAAACAAGTATTACTTATTGTAAAGGATCATTTTACAGGTCTGCACGTATAATTTAACTCACTAATAATAGCATCACGCCTGATAGTGTCGATCACAGGCAACACTTCTGCACTTCTGTTTGCATTGCACTTCTTTCCAAGAAGTGAATGGCGCCCGAGTTCTTCAGATGAAAATAACCGACGGAACAGGTTTCTTGCATAAACTGTCGGTTTATTAGACCCCATCTTTATCGCCAGCAAATCCGCTGCTGGAAGGCGCACATTGCTGTCTGGGTATATTTCAACCTGAATACAAATTTTTATAATTATATTACTATCCGAACTTTATACACAAATATAAGTCATGAACCTCAGCGCCCCGCTTTACGGATTCCTTTAAAGCACGATATTTGGTTCTCAGCTTTTTATATTTCTCCTTCCACAGGTGATATTTGTCTATTGGAGAACAGTAATCATTACCTTACGGGTCAAGGAAATTTAATACAAGGATATTCAAACCTTCAAAATTTGTCTCAACTTCGTGATTATCATTTCCTTCGTCCAATGCCATTCCTTCTCCTTCGTCCAAAGGCATTCCTTCGTCCAATTCAACTGGCGTAATAATAGAGGCGGGTGGCTGGGACATATTTTCAATAATATCATTTATGTCCGTAGCACGCTGTCGACTTTTTTCACCTAAATTCATAACATTTGTCACTTATTTTGCTGTTTACATAATTACATAACTTTAACAAGAAACTAATGCCAGTTACCTTTTTTTGTACCAAGTTTTCGTTTCACTCCAGTTGTCACGTCGTTCTGGGAGGAGTTAGCAGCAAGTAATGCTAATTTGTCCGCCTCTTTGGACAATTCAGCTTCATAGCCTAAAGAGAAAAGAGGAATATAGTTTTGTTTTTGAAATTAGTTGTTTTATACATTTTTAATGTACCAATCTGCAACACCAATCCTGGATATTTTTTTCCACGGCTCCAATTGACTTGTACTGTGTCACCTACCACCCTCTCTAGATTAGCTCTTAGAGAACCATCCTCCAATTTTTCGGACGAAACCACAGAATACATTTTGGGGGTTTCGTTAAGCCACTCGATCAGTAAAAAATCCATGTCGCATCAATTATTTAATAATTTTCTATCTTGCAAATTCAATACACCAGACAAACTCACTTTTACTCTTGCTCGTTCGCTCGAGTGATAATCTCGTTCCCGCTCCATCGGGGCGGAATTTAGTCTTCTCTTCTATTAGGGGAATCCATTAATGGATTCCCCTTTCCGCTATTTCATATTTTGTCAAGACTCCTTTCCAGCTCTCACTGCAGCTTTACATAAGGCACATGGCGCTCCTATCGACAGACAAAATGCACAGTAGCCGCTGAAGGTGAGGACAGAGGGAAGAGGGAAAATGTCACCGCGATTATTCGATGTTCCCATCGGCTGCCCATGCTATACACATTCCATTCCATTCCCTTCATGTGCAGACTCCGTAGATTTAAGGAATGGAATCCGTTCCCCTTCCATTCCGTTCATGAAGGGAATGAGGCCTCCGATGAATTAGTCAAATCTTCTACTGGAACAGATTTTGAAATCTGCACATGAATATAATATCATACGCGCTTTGACATGCCACACACCCGTGACCGTGTGGACCAAGTCAAACGTCACATATGTCGAACACGTCAAACGTGTCTTTGTTAACAGATTTTGAATCGGGTATAACAATATGATACTCTTCTTGATTAAAATCATTGAATCCATTCGTTGTGACCATATATTTATTACCACATAAGAATATGTATGTATGTAGTATGGCATAAGCATTGTTTGGATTTCTTAAATATTTTGATTTTCCTACCATCAACTTCTATCATCAACTCATATCATCAATTTCACGTTCTTTACAAATTCCTTTGACTTCCGTCTGTGACAGAATTTGAGCTTATTATATTATATAGATTAAAATATTTAATTGGTTGGAGTTTTCTAAAATTCCACTCAATTTTCATGAAAATCAAATAAGCTCGCGCCCGGCGGGAGACGGGCTTATACGCTAGTTTAGTATAAGTGGACAAACTACATACTGTCCTCGTACTCGGCTCTGTCACCTCATTTGCATATTTTAACGCATTCGTAAGAGTCATAGAGTTTACTCAATATGGAAAGCCCGTATCGCCGAGAATGGGCTATTGAGATTTATGCAAATGAGGTGACACGCCTAAATGCGAGGATAGTATGTATGTACATACCTACACCTAATAAGAAATTTATGAGTGGAATTTATCCGTAATTTTAGATGCAATAGAATCGCCATGATTTTAGATCTTTGTATTTATACGTTTTACATATAAACTCGTAAGTATATTTATTTAACAGACTTAATATAATTATTAGTAAAACTGAGAAGGAATTTAGTTCGCATAGCAAAATAAAATAACTATTTATGTAGATATTAATTAGATGAGGAAATATTATTGTCTTCAACTCGGTTAAAATTTGTGAAGTCACTGCCAAATTAAATATGTATGATTTGCGTGATTTCTTGCTGCAGAAAGAGTGCTAAAAATGATTCACTTTTTCTTAAACACGATTGGAATCTTGTTTTCGCGAATGAAGGGTTCCATCCATTCCCATATTTCTCTTCTAAACTGAAAATAGTCGAAACACAATTCAAAAAGTTGGCATCAGCCAAAACATTTTAAATATGCAAAAAATACTTTCAATGCAACTCACTTCAATTCCCGAAATATACACATCCTCGATTCTCTTCATTTGCAAAAGCCACTGCTTCATCTCTGCCATCCTGTCTTCGAAGTCATCGCAAAACCGTGCGTCCACATGGTTAAACCGTATTTTTAAAATTTTTAGACCTAATTTCGTTTAAAAAATCAATTAAGAGCACTTGAAGATTCATATTTAAATATAAATCCAAGCATAATTCTACCCGTACCTGACAACAACCTCCCACAATTAAAAAAACCTCGAATAAAGCCTTGTAAACCTCGGAAATAACCATTTGATAGGTCAAGCTCCAAGTATTTTAATCCAAGTGAACCACAAGCTTGTAGATAAGGTTGTATAGGCGGACATTCCTCCTTATCCGACTGACGAATCGATAACCTTTCCAAGTTTGGGAATGCTGTCCTTAATTCAGCAATTAAATCGGCGGGATGTAGATTCGTCACGTGCAGGTTTCTGATTCCACTGAATAAATCCTCCTCGATGAAATTTTGTAATACCTCTTCCAAACTTATCTCGGTTGTAGCTGTGGAAAGCCGTAAAGTTTTCAAAGTTGGAATCCTTTCTGTGCGAATATCTCTCAGTCTGAACCCACAGTCGAACAAATCCAGCATGGAATTTCCATATTCTTTAAGACACTTCATTTCTGGGATCTCTAATTCACCTAAGTACATTCCAATGTCCTCGCCATTCTCGAGGGGGTCAATCGTAAAAAACCTCCACGTGGGCTTTTACTTGGTTCAGGACCCTGTTGACGCTACCGATATTATAAACAACCGGGGCATCGGATTTCATACAGTTTAGGTTCAATTCGAGCAGTTTGAGGCGATCATTCTGACCCAAATTTGGAAGGTGGTTATTCCCCTCGTGGAAGAAATGTGTCAAATTTTCGGCAGAATAAAGGATCCATTGTGTCATCGTGGCCAAGCCTAGGTCTGGGTACGGAGTGGTGTCAATTATTTTGAGAGAGACCAACTTATCAAGGGTGCATGGGGGTGGTAGATGTTCATCAGTATTTGCAAATCTCGTGGGTTGAAGCTCAATTTTGAGTCTTCTCAAATTTGGGCAGCGGTTGCGCAGTATTTCGTACAATGTGGGGAGAAAGTCGGGATTGCAGGTTACCGAAAAGTTTTTAATCGACCGACCGAAGTTAACGGAAACGTGGAACAATTTCTCTTTCGAGTGGAATTTGAAGGGTTCTAGAAGTCTAGATTCTAGACTTTTGACAAGTCTGGTGTCGATGTCGGTACAAAATATTTGATATGGGGTGGCATTCCGGCAATTTTCCCACGGGTCGAGGCAAAGGGTCAGCCTTGGGCGAGGAAGGGTAAGGATGGTTCTATTCCACAAGTCGCAAACGAGTCGCACCGTTTTTCCGGAAACTGATCCATTTTGAAATATTCGTCGAAGGATCTGTGACAAAATTTAGGAATCAATTAATTATCTATTATAGGGAAATGGTCATAAATTATGTCACGCAAAAATATGGATTTTTCAGACCATTGACGCGCTTTTCAACATGTGGGGCAACAAGTCATGTAGAACTTTTACCCGCTCACCCCCCTAAGCCGTGACATAATTTATGGGCATTCCCTAATGCATAGTATAGTTTGTTTTAGGAAGAAATCATAATAATTTCAAAAGGGGTCACTTATGTACAATCGGATTTTGTAGCATCGCGTGACCTTCGTCCCCCATATTTTCTTGGACCGGGCGGGAGAAAATACTAAATTTTCAAAATGACAAATTTCTATGAAATATTCTTGCATAGAAAATATGACATATAATTATAAGAACAGTTGCAAACCTTCAACTTATACAAGAGTAGACGTTAATGTATTTTACGTATATTCTTATTTCAGTATTTTGGCCGAGGCAGCAGGAAATAGGCAATGTAATAAAAGGGAAACTGATTAACGCCATGAAACAGCCAGCCGATGCACTAGATAATTACCTCCAAATTGTGAACGAACTACCTATTGCAAACGATAAAAAGGGAGAATTGACCAGGCTGTATCACACCGCTAACCTTTCCGCATTCACTATCACCTGTTCGTACACACTGTTCCAAAAATTGATTGACAAAGTCACTGGTACGATGGGGGCGGAATCAAAGGTGGGGATATTTTTGGACGCGATGGATGCGACAGGGTGGCAGGATGGAAGTGGTATGTAAATCAATGATAAATAGTGGGAACAGAGTTGGATATTTACATATGTAACTTTTGCGAAAGTACGAAGTTTGGTTAGCAATGAAGTGAATACACCTGCGCGAAATTTGGTGGTGCAAATGTCTCAAATTTTACAGCAGGAAGAATACATTAATTTCCATCTTACATTAGGAAATTTTAACCAGAATTTCTGTTAAACATTCCATCACTTAAAAGGTTTAACGTTTTATCGATTATCCAAATTTGTTCGTTCTAATTTGGTAATGTTTTTCCGGTCTGTTCGGTCTCTACCTACACAAACATCCAACTCTGTGGTGACAACTATAAATATTAACCCATTTGTTCGAAACGAAGACACTGTTTTGAAGAAGAATTTTCTCTAACTAGGGATACTTCCGATGCCGGTCGTGTCCAGAGTACCCACTATGTTTTTTTAGAATCTGCTAGGACCCTAGATGAAGGGTCCATTCATATTCCCGTGTAAAATTCATATTTGGCGTCATGGCGTGGCGACAAATTTAAAATTTTGCATTTTCGCACAATTTCAAACCGCCATAGCTTTTGCAGTTCAAGTGGGATTTTCAAAATTGTATGCTTAAAATGATCACAAAATTCGAAATTTTACACAAAAAATAAAAAATGATAGTTTATGAGATATTTTTAGCATTTTTCAAAGAACCCAAATGTATAATAAAATTACGAAATTTAGCCAAAAACCTAAGTGATAATTTTGGAAAAAAATTCATGGAATACGAAAGTTGAACTCCCTGTCATGATTTTTGCCAAACATTTTTAAAATCCGTCCGGGATTTCAAAAGTTATGGCGGTTTCAAAAATAAAAACATTCGAATTTGGCGAATTTGGCCCCACGGCACGACGCTAAATATAACTTTTCCACAGAACTAAGAATGGATCCTTGATCTAGGGTTCTAGTAGATTCTAAAAAACATAGTGGACACGACTATCACCTTGAAAGTATCCCTTGTAAGTAAGAATCATCAGCCATAAAGGGTTAACCAAATTTATTTAGCTATAACTTTATATATGTAGATGCTGTCGTTGCGGCAAACTGGGGAGAAATTGAAGGCCTTGACGAGGCCGTGGTGGAAATTCTCGCCGCACAGCAACATTTACAAGGAAATGGTGAGGACACTGTGGATGCTAAGGAAGATCTGGGGCCATTCCCAAATCCGAAATCTGCTTTGGATGAAGGGTTTTTCGAATTTGATCCAATACAAGCGGGTATGAAGTGATTATAAAGTTCTTAAGGGTTTATTGCATACGGGTTTTGAATTTGAATTGTGGTGTATCAACTATCTCCATGCGTTTTTTCAATGAAGATGTTATTCCATCTAAAAATCGATAATTTTTAGTTTCCCAAGTTTAGGAGGTTACAATTTTGAGTGTTTTTTATTCCATAATAAAATATAAAAAAAGATGAAAAATAATAAGAAAAATTAAATAATTTCTGATAACAAAGACTTCAAAGTATAACCTCCTAATTTTTGAAATCTAAAAATTATAGATTTTTAAACGCAATAAGATTTTCATTTTTTATTAAATATGTACACGGATATGAATAGGTTTCAAAATACCATGCTGAATGTATGTAAGAAGGGTGAGTTGAGACGTAACAATTCGAATGCAAAACACGCATGCAATAGACCCTTAAGTACACTGTACATGTGTAAAAATTAGTAAAAGCTACTCATTGTCAAAGTAAAATAGAGAATGACATAACAATTGTGCATAACTTATCCAGCCCAATTTTATGCCGTCCTCTATTTAACTCAATCTTGGGTAAATTTTATTTATTTTTATTCACAAAATTTTTAATTTTTCGAAAAATAATTTAATCAAAATTTGGCAAGTTTAGAAACTGAACTTCCCGACGGAACAAGTGTTGGTGGATATTTTGATAGAGAAATCCTAAAAGTAAAAGTCGTCAAGGCGAAGGAAGCCAAATCCGGAAGTGGGGTATGAAACGTATTTCATAATTAATTAGTAAAACAATTTATGTACTGTAGCTTTTGGTAATTTTGTAAAATCTGTGAATTTTGCAAAATAATTGAAATTTTACAAAATAATGAGAATGAGTAAATTTACAAAAATTTTCCTCGGAAATCCTTGTAAAAGTTTACGGATTTTGCAAAAGAATCGCCTAAGTTTTTAAATATTCATTTGTTATTTTTGAAATTTTTAAAAGATTTGCTAAAACCCTTCGTTGAAATGTAGATATACAAAATGTCTTCGAAACCACGCGGCGTCGCGTTAATAATGAACAACATGTTTGAAAAGAAGAAGGGAGAAAAAAGGATAAATTCTCCCCGGGATGGGTGCGAGCATGATGAAAAATACATGGGAAACTTATTCCAACAATTAGGATTTAACACATTTGTTGCAAAAAATGTTGCAAAAGACGTACGACGACAAAATTTATAAATATTTAATTGAAAATTGCTAAAAAATCTTGTACTTATAACTATAGTGTTACCCTTTTGAAAAGGGAGCGTCCATATATAACGTTATCAGAAAAACACCGAATCTTCGGCCACCTATCTACCCATTCTTTATCCTAGTTATGTTAAGCTTACATAATATAAGTACCCAAAAACACCCACCTTTTTCATGACGTAATATATGGACCTTGCCAAAGTTAGTGCACTCTGAATTCAAAATTAGTTAAGTGAGCTACAAACAATACAATACTAAATCCAGAGTAACGTTGACTTGATAAGGGAGCGTGTACAAATCACGTTATCGATTTGGAGGCAATTTATTAAAAAATTCCCTTAATTTAGAATTCAAAATGCCCTTACTTTTCAAAAGGGTAGCACCAAATATTTTTTAGAGTGTAAAGACTTAACATTGTAACATTCCTTTTGTTAGCGAATTGTCGCCGTCATGGAAAAATATCGGTCCCTCATTACGGAAGAAATGGATTGTTTCGTCTTCGTTATCATGAGTCACGGCCAATTAAACGAGATTCAAATGGCGGACGGGAACTCTATGAATATTTATGCCGATTTCTTACCCGAAATTACGAGAAAGATGGCGCCGGCTTTTAGCGAGAAGCCTAAACTCGTATTTTTTCAGGCGTGTCAAAGCCTTGAAAAGAAGAAGAAATTCGAGTCCCACGATGGTTCGGGTCAGTCGAAAAACGAAACGGAAACAAGTTCGGTGGATCACGTCCGCCTGTTTTTTCCCGCCCTTCCCGCCGACGTGGCGAGACGTCAATCCGCCACGGGATCAAGATTCATTTACGCCTTGACAAAAGTGTTCATGGAGCAAGCGCATGAAAAACATATTGACGGTTTGCGCAACGAGGTGAGTAATGAGGGAGGGTAGAGTACACTCTAAAAAATAAGTAATGTCACCTTCTTGAAAGATGGGTGCACTCTGAATTCCAAATTGTTTAAGTACATACACTAGACTAAATCCTGCGTAACGTGAACTTGATTAAGAAGACTTATCTATGCTCCAGATTTTGTAACGGTGTGCATTTATTTTTCAAACGGGTGACATTATTTCTTAGGGTGTACCGCCTCAAAAAGTTTTATGCACAGTGGAACAAATTGAATGTATATCAATGTACCGTACAAGATGAAGATTAGTACTCAGGACGAATTTTTAAAGTGAAAAGGTCTCGCAAAAAACCGAGAGAAGAAACGTAACTAACATTTTCCACCTGATTGGAAGAAACATTTCTATTTGGTAAACTTTGAAATTCAAGTAATTCTAGAGAAGGAATAACTAAATGCAGAAAGAAGCAAGTGCCTTTTCGTTTGAAAAAAATCGTCCCGAGTAAATGTCTTAAGTATTTTGTAATAATTAAATAATAATATTGTCTAAAAATCCAGGTAGCCAAGGTCATGAAGAATATGGAACTTCCCCCCGGATTTGAAAGGCAGAATCCAAAAATGGATATTCTAGGAGAGTGCGATAAACTCTACTTTAATCCGGGGCTGTGAAATGGGTAAATTTTACTTTTCGCTATTTGTGTAACAATGGACTTGTACATATTAATATTTTGCATACGGAACAGGAAATTTAAAGGATTTGTAAGAATTGCTTATGTTTTGTATGTAATTTGCTTTTTCAAAATATAAATTTGTAAATCCATTAAATTTTTAGTTTCATCAAGTTTCAATAAATAATTTATACGGGTCAAATTTAGGATTGTGCCGAGCTTTTTTAAACCTTTAAAAACATTTATATATGTACCATTCTCTCTAATTATACGAAAAATGGTGTATGTACGTAAATATGCAAGTGTGTAAATAAACAAATAAAACACTTCACATTTGATAATTTCAGGTATTTATGTATGTATTTATGTATAAAAATTTGCAGATTTTTTAAATTTTTAGCTCCTACTCTTCTTGATTGTTTAAGTTTTCATATTTTTTATTTATTCTTATCAAATTTATTATCGTTAACCAACAGTATTCGAAAAGTAATAGTAAGCAATTCGAAAATGAATAGTTTCATTACCACAAAGTTAAAACGTCGGTGGACATTTTGTACAAAAATCTAAAAGTTTCAGGGAGTAATTAGTGTAAAAATCTGAACTCAAAAACTATCCTCGGCTTTTTCCTACTTCTTGAAATAAGTTTCTTAACTTCCCAAAAATAACAAAGTACCCCAACCAAAACACCGACACAATATAGAATAAAGCATATTTTCAAATTATCCAATTCCACCTGGCTAAAGGTAAATGGTCCATCCGTCATCACGTCAGACCCGCTCATTACTACCAAACCGTAATAATTCAACCTGGCCCGCCTCCTATAAATAGGTCGTTCATCTTTAACATCATCACGGTGTAATACATGTCATGATTTTTTCCGCCAATTTTCATAAATCCCGCTCTCCCACAACTTTGCCAAACCCTTCTTAATGATTCCGGTATACTCGTTGTTATCCATGTACCAAGGGATCCGACTCACTACGGAGGTTGCTCCCCCGAAATTAGGCTTTTCTTGAGTGAAATATCGATTACTCCGACTCATCAGGGTTTTCATTCTGTCCGATAACCTCTTATCGCTGAGAGATGCGAAAGTTTGGGGCATCTTGATAAGCCCGCGGTCCGTATTTAGCGGCAAGTTTTGAGTGATATTGAGCACGATGTAGTTTACTTTGCCGGTGAGAAGGATCGTTTTATCGGCCAAACGGGCATACAATTTGGCATAGGGATCGTCCCCTTGGGCGAGATCGGCTAACACATAGTTTTTCAGGGTGGACTCCATTTGTTCCCGATATCCGGGATACCGGGTATTTGTGGTTATCGGGATACCCCACTTTGATAAAGCTTCTAAAGTATCCGGCGTCTTGGGAGGAGTTTCCGTGACGAAATAGGAGAAAAGGTCGCCCTTGTAACAAGTCGAAATTATGGATAACGTCAAAGTCCAGGTCGTGATTAGAAGGGTCGTCTTATTCGGAAAGATCAGATTTCCCACATCCTTCGGGGCATGTTGAGACTGGTCTAGCAATACGGAAAACACGGTAAATAAAGCGTTACCAATGTTCCCTTTTATTTCTGAGATGCCACAAATTAGGAAAAACGTGACCAAAAAACCGATCCCGAGCCCGGCCCAAATCCAAAAATCGAGGGGTTCCAGTAACTTGAAGAAGTCCAGATTCCCGCCCTTTTCGGTGTACAGAACGAGGACAAATTCAGAGCGGAGAGTCGCATGGTTTAGCAGTTTGAACTTGATCATGCTCTTTGAGAGGAACTTTTCTTCGTAAAAGACGTTTCCCGCCGATTCTCCGAAGGATACCCAGGCTATGGAGCGTTGTCTGGGGTATTGCGGGACTAGCGAGTAGTTCAAGTGGGTACTTAGGACGTACACGACGCAGGTCGGGAACCAGGTTTCGAGCCCCCAGTAAGGCCGGAAGGAGCAGGACGTCATGTCTTTCCGACGGGGTGGGGGTGGTCCCTCATGGTGGGAGATGAAGGCGAAGGATTTTTCCATGGGGGGAACTATTCTGAGAGAGTGGCGATTTACCACCTGTTCAAAAAAGGAAAAATTCGTTCAATATAAAAATTTAAATAAATTATTCATTCGTTATTTATTTATTCAAAATTTGAAAATAAATATTTATCCATTATTCATTCTTTACTCATTTTGTCTCAAATCCCCCCTATTATATGGATTTCTCCAGCTACCCCGTGCATTAAGCATAGCGTGAAGAGTGATTAATGAACGGAACTATTCATTCATTCGGCTTATCCTAAGCATGCCACATGGGTTATTCTGAGCGGGAAAATGAACTATTAATAAAATTATTCCTTCATTCATTCCTTTATTCATTCTTCGTGAATATGGAATAAATAAATATTATTTGAATATTCATTCAGTCAAAATTTTTCAAATAATTATTCACTCGTTATTCATGAATTTATTGAATAATGAATGTATAATTTATCCATTCTCTATTGAATGAATGAATGTGAACAGGTATGTATGTATGAAATATCCGTTATTACGGGTGAAGTGAGACTGATAGGAATCGGCTCCCGACAAGAGACACATATTCTGTACAAGTTTCTACTAGGTTCGTGCCAGAAGAGAAATGTAGACGAAACCCAGTACGGAGTATGTCGCCGAAATACAGGTAGAAATTCCGCCGCCGGCCAATACGTATGGATCAGGATGAAATGCGGGTCTAAATTTGCGTATGAAATTCCTTCCAGCAAATCATCCAAAAACAGGTAAAATTTGAACGTATAAATGTCCGCGACAAGTATAAAACATGAATCCGAATATCGGGTAGAGATCGAGATTAAATTAAAATCGGGGGATTCGCCCCTTCGCGGAAATTTGTGTCGAGGAGGAGTTCCTTCCACTTTGTCGAGAATGAATGAAATTTTTAATTCTGAAGAGGATTCTGTCCAGAAAAAATAATTGTTTTCGAAATTTGACAAAATGTTGAAGATGTACCCCTCGAAAATTTTATGGTGCAGGGTTCTCCCTAAATTTGAGGAAAATATAACGGGAAGAATTTGAAACAATATTTGTAAAACAGAAAATAAATTTGTCATTTTCGAAACCATTTTTGGACTCTTCTAAAAAGTCTTCAAATGAATTGTGGAAATGGTAAGTTGCACGTTTGCATTTATATTGTTTTTCAATTTAGTTACATATTGATGTACACATATTGAAGCAGCTGCTTGATACTGACATTTTGTTGATGTGGTGTGACTTTTTCTTTATATAAGTATCTACTGATGAGGAGGTTAAAGTATATTTATAGTATAAAAAGTACACCTAACTTCCAATTAGAAGGTTCAATTTGTTAGATAAATATAATTTTAATAATATTTATTATCTCATTCGGGTTACCCTCAATTTTAATTTTACTAAACTCTTTTATTGCAAAAAAATATACAAGAACGAGAAAAACCTTCAGCATTCGAATGCGGATTCGACCCCAAAAGATCCCCACGACTTCCTTTTTCTCTTCGGTTCTATTTAATCGCAGTGGTATTTTTAATTTTTGATGTAGAAATTACTCTAATCATCCCCCTGCCAGTTATTCTTACATCAATAAATTGAGCCCACACTCTAACTCTATTAACATTCTTCATCTTAATTCTTTTAATGGGACTTCTACATGAATGGAACCAAGGAGCCTTAGACTGAAAATAATATTGTATACTAATAAAATAAAGGATTGTAGTTAAAAATAACATCTGGGTTGCATTCAGAAAGTACTGTGAAAGTCTATCTTACACTAGTAAGAAGCGAAAAATCGCGGTCAGTTTCGACCTGAAAATTTGGGATCTCCCCTTATTTTAAAGGAAGCCAAAGAAGCGGCGAGCCACTGTTAATGGCTATTAGGCACTCAGCCTCTTTAATAAGAAAAGGGAGCCAAATTTAAGCTGCTAACTTAAAATTTTAACGGTTAAACTCCGTTATTTTCTTTTTTCTATTTTAGTTTAATTAAAAACAAAACATTTTCAATGTTTAAATAAATAAATATATTTTTATGGGATATATTTTCAAGACTCAGTCTTCCCCTACAACTTCAACGTAGTGCTCTTTTATATAAGCTATAAAAATCTAAACTAAGCTAAAAAATAAAACCAATACACCCATAAAGAAACTAAATATAAAGAATTTCATTCTTACGGAATTTAATACATCTGCCTTGGAAGAAATAAACTTAGATTTGTCAATAAATCCTTGCCCCCCTAAAAACTCCACTCAACCTTGGTCCACAAGATTTAAAATTTTTACGCCGTACTTAATAATAGGAGTTAGAGCAAAAGTAGAAATAAAAGGAAGCAGTCACATCGAACCTAAAAAATAGTCTAAACCTGAGGTAGAGCTAATTTTCTTTATAACCTTAAAGTCTACTAAGAAAAAATAAATAAAGAAAAAACTAAAACTTATAGTAACGACCAATAATTTAAGCCACAAGGGTAGAAAAATAAAATTCATAGGAAATATATAAACTCTAAGCCACCCGCCAGCCAAAACTGACATAAAAATTAAAAATGTTATCGGAATTAGTATATTAATTCTCTCAGCTAAACTTAAAAGATACCGGTTACCCATATTATTAAAAAAAGAAAAATACAAAAGGCGAACAGAGTACGTTAATGTAAACAATGTAGATAAAACTATTAAGCATCCCATAATTAAATTTATTTTACCTTGAAAAAAAAATTCAATAATTATATCCCTAGAAAAAAATCCTGATAAAAACGGAAACCCACAAAGAGCTATTGAAGAAATAATGAAGTACAAAGATGTGACTGGGCAAGAAATCATTAACCCCCCTATCGCTCGAATATCCTGAGTGTCCCCTATAGAATGAATAAACACCCCAGCACATAGAAATAATAGGGATTTAAATATAGCATGAGTTAAAAGATGAAAAAAGGCATACTCGTAGAAGCCCAGCCCCAAAGATGTTATTATTAACCCGAGCTGACTTAGTGTTGATAAGGCAATAATTTTTTTTAAATCTATCTCAAAATTAGCCCCTAAACCAGATATAAATATAGTCAACATACCAATAAATAATAAAAAATTATTGACACCTAGAGTGTAATTAAACCGAATTAATAGATACACCCCGGCTGTGACTAAAGTAGATGAATGCACAAGAGCCGAAACTGGGGTGGGGGCTGCTATAAATGATAATAACTAATTTATTTTCAGTGTTTGACCCTTCATCAATAATTTTTGTATCTTTAAACTGAATTAGATCATTAATTGTTTTAATGATTTTAACGCCTATGTTTTGAGCCACCCCTAATAAATTTTTTTTATTGACCTTAAGAATTTGCAAAAAACTTCATGATGAATTTAAAATACTGCTAGGACCCCACTCATCAGTAGGAAGAACTATCCCATTTATCTCTTTATTGATATTTATTCTAATAAATAATTTTATGGGCTTATTTCCATACATTTTTACAGCTTCAAGACACATAGTTTTGACCTTAACTTTAAGATTACCTCTATGACTATCATTTATGATGTACGGCTGATTAAATTACACCAAACATATGTTCGCCCATTTAGTGCCACAGAGCACTCCAAATTTATTAATACCATTTATAGTGTTAATCGAATCAATTAGAAATGTAATCCGGCCTTTAACTTTGGCAGTCCGACTTATAGCTAACATGGTAGCAGGACACTTATTAATAACTCTTTTGGGCAGCCAAACAGCAGCCGCCTCTAACTTAATCTTAGCTAGATTAATCTTAACCCAAATTATTTTATTAACCCTAGAATCTGCTGTAGCTATAATTCAATCTTACGTTTTTGCGGTGTTATCAACACTATACGCTAGAGAAATTACACCCCACTAAATAAGTAATGATAGTAAAGAGAGACCACTCATTCCACTTAGTAGACCTAAGTCCGTGGCCCCTTACTGGGGCCACGGGCGCTTTCATTTTAACTACAGGCATTGTAAAATGATTCCAAGAAATAAATATAAATTTATTTTTATTCGGTATAATAATTATAACCCTAACTTGCATTCAATGATGGCGTGACATCAGACGAGAAGGGACCTTTCAAGGACTCCACACTTCAATTGTAGCCAAGGGATTGCGCTGAGGTATAATTTTATTTATCACATCTGAAGTATTATTTTTTTTCTCGTTTTTCTGAGCATTCTTCCATAGAAGTCTTGCCCCTTCTATAGAAATCGGTTTAATATGACCCCCTAGGGGAGTACTTCCGTTTAACCCATTTCAAGTCCCCCTCTAATAATCTTGGAAATTCAGTATTAAAATAATACCAAAATGATATCGACAAGTAGGAATTTAATAGATACTTATGGTGAAGTAATAGTTCGGTATTAAACGCTGATCGTATCGATAGTAAACTTTTACTTATCTTTATAATTGTAATACCAAATGGTATCAGCTTTAATACAGAGAAATCAGTACCTATAGCAGATTTTTAACAGTGTATTACAATCAACAAAAATAGCTAGTTTTATGTATAGAATTAAAAAGTTTCTGGACAGTAAACAAATACTTGGTTGTGCCAATAACAGGAAGGTGGGCTGCAAAATTTGGCGAATTATTTGCAAAACTTGGGTGTAGAATAACATTAGTGTTTATACAGTAAATATGTACATATATATGTAGGTACATATTTACATAGGGAGTTGATCATTAATTTAAGTGGAGTTACACTAATTTGATAACAGGCCGGTTATGAAGATAATTCAGTACTTATGTACGTAGAAAGTTGTAAATTGCAGTTGTCATAAAAGTGTGTTCAAAATGGTATTGTGCACTTTGTCATCAAACAATTGCCACAGGGTTCGCTACCCGGAGTTTTGGTGGGTTTTTGGGGTATCAAATCTCCGGAAAACCCATAATGCTTAATACGCGCTATCCTTAAATGATTCCACCATTTCATATATTTCGGTTTAACTTGCTAAACGAATTGACAATTAATGTAAATATGCAAGATTACGAATTGATCAAATTCTCTACACCGTAGAAAAAAATGGAAAGCGAATTGAGATATTGAAAATTTGAAGAATCTTTGTAGTTTTCACGAAATACATAAACCTGGACATAACAATTTGATGAAGTAATTTGTAAAATAATCGATACGCAGAATTTATCTGCAATTATGTATCACACCAAATTAATAAGTGTTGTTATTTTCTAGCTAAAATAAATAGCAGAAGTAAATGAAAACTGAAATTTTTGCGCCCAAGTAATTTCGGCATGACAAAACTTCATGATTTGTTAATTATAAAATCTTGAAGCAGTTGTTTCGAAATTTGAGAAAATGTTGGTCTTTCCCCAGGCTCCAATTGCCAACAGGTTTGCATGATTACAAATCTAAAGACGAAATTAATATTATAGAAACAGCATCTTTTTAATAAATTATACGAAGGGTATTCCAAATTCCCTCGTATCCTTACAAAGTGTCCTAAAATAGTTTACGAAGAAAACCATGATAAAAGTCGTAATCCGTGTAACGAAATTTCTAACAACAAAATCCTACTACACTAACAAGACCTCGTAACCGTCGTAACTTATTTTATGATACGAAGAATCATGAGGATACGAAGGCTTCATGAATATCCTTATTAAACTGCTCACATATTTTTATCCGCCCAAAAAGGTCGTTCCAGTCGTAGTCCGTTGTGTAACTTGTGTACAAAATCGGACGTCCATGTCAACCCGGGCCACGGGGTTTCGCCCAGGCTGTAAATTTCCCAGAGCAAGACGCCATAAGACCAGACATCGGATTGGTGGGTAAACTGGAGCCGATCCAGGCTTTCGGGGGCCATCCATTTCCAAGGATATTCCTAACAAAGGGATACAATTTAGTGAGATATTCACTCTTAAAAATGATGTAACCCTTTTATAATAGAAAGTATTTGCACTCTGAATTATAAATTATGTAATTACCCAAAATCCAGAGTAACTTTGACTTGATAAAAAGCAAGGTTTACTCTGGGTTTTGTAACTACAGTTCGCTTAAGTTAGACTTCCCTCACTTTTGGAAAGGGTAACAATATTTTTAAGAGTGTAAGTACAAAAATGGTGTAGAACACAGGAACGTTAATGTTTGTTCACCTTTTGTTCTAGGGTGGCATACATTTGGTAATCGTACAATTTTCTGGACATGCCGAAATCCGATATTTTCGCGACTAATTTATCATCCAAGAGAACATTACGGGCAGCAATATCGCTATGAACTAACTATATATTTAGAAAATTTGTAAATAAGTTACATACGTACACTCAAAATAAAAATTTGTCGAATCAACACCGCCCGTGTCAATATATGACTAGGGTTCTACAATGTCCGTGTCAAGAAATATATGTCGCGTCATGTCATATTTGTCATGTCGTGTCATATTTGTCATAAATGTCTGACATTGACATTATTGATAAATGTCTGACAAATATGACAAATATGACATTTATGACATGTCAGTTATGACATTTAGAACCTCCAGATTAAATTTAAACGATATGATTTCCGTAAATAATACAGCGCTAAGAATGATTCATACTTTCAATTATATTCCTATTCATGTTTTATTTTTTAACAAACATGGATATTTTTAACATATTCTAAAATGCATTTAGGTATCTAGTTCACTTTCCGAGTAAGGTTCGGCTATTTCCATGTCAGAATTGTCATCGGACTCGGAATCTGACGCCACATATTCCTGCTGATGCGGCTCAATAACGAGACTTGTTACCGCTTTTTTCAGTTTTTTTGGGTACCGCTGCTGATTATTCCACTTGATTCTCATAATTTGTTCTACAGTTGTTTCTAATAATCGGTTTCTATTTTTTGTGTGTACATTTCCTTGAATTGAGAAACTTCTTTCAGCTCCTGCACTGATCCGGGAATTGATAAAATCCTGACACCAACAGTAGCTAAGATACTCGAAGATTGGAATGATAATAAATTATCCCAATACAAATGAGGGACTCTGTGCAAAAGCATCGAATTTCCAAATATGCCTTCTTTCCTCCTATAACTGGATATTTGACGGCCGAGTTCTTCCTTGGCTTCTTCAGTTGGAATGACTCCAATATTTTTCGCATAATCTTCAAGTTCTGAAAGTGTCATCGACAGTTTTTCTTCGTCTTCGACAAATTTTTGACCTCTATACCTTGGATCCAAAAAGTTAGCTAAGTAGTGAATTTTCGTTAGTTTTTGGATATCAGTCCTGTTCTTAAATATTGTTTGACATTTTTTAATTTCAGAAATATTTGTGGCATTTTTTAGTATGTCAGAATTGTCCCCGTTTTGTTCAAAAATTCCCCGCAATTTTTCAAATTCTTCTACCACGTCCGACAACGTAGACGAATTTCCTTCCGTAATTGCAATAACTGCAAAAATAGTTTACAAAATGAAGAAAGATTAAGAAAGAGCTTGGTTTTCAATAAAATATTTATGAAAACTACCATCAGTAATTGCTCTAAAAAGTGGAGCCACGTGTTCGAGCTTAGTCCAAAAAGAGTCATCCTTTAAAGCCATTCGAGTGGAGGAAGTGAAGTCAATCTCATGAAGGATAGATAGTCTTTCTAGGACAGGTCTTGCTCTCAGTAATTTATGAAACATATCACTGATTCCATACCATCTTGTCTTCGAAGGAAGGGTTAGAGTGACACGAGATTTTGGCGTATTTCCTTTTACTCTTTCATCGTCAATCCATTTCTGATATTCATCATAATATTGAGCAAGTTTAAGTTTGGACTTCTTAATTTCTTTGACAACGTTGGTGGACTTTTTAAGGAAACGATTGATACTAGGAATTTTTGAAATATCTTCAGCTTTGGCATATGTGCACCGCAATTGATGGACAAAATAGTTTCCTCATTAGAAATTACGCGTCGTGCTCTCACAAAGTTGCTTCCTTGGTCAGTGACAATCGCGACAATTTTTCCTTGTCCATGAGTGGCCTGTACTTCTTCTATTACTCCTTTAATTACTGAAGCCAAATACTCTCCAGTCTCCCTATTGGCCCCTGGAATGTGTGCAAAATAAAATTATAGTCAAATACGTGCATATAAAGCGAATCGTACAATTTGTGGTATATTTTATAAACATGTGTAAGTACTCACCTGGTTCATAACTCTTGTAGAAAATACAAGATGAGGGATTTACCAAAATTATGTTGATAACTGGAACTCCCCGACAATTTTTCCACCCGTCAATAATGATTGAAAGGTGCCGGTTATTAGAAATAGCATCGTTTACACAAGTAAGTGCGTCTTTATTCAGTGCGCTCAAAATTGATGTAGACGCCTGTCGCGGAGAAGGCATGACGAATCCTGAGCCCAGTTTTTGAAAAAAACTATTCAAAACTGGATCTTGTAGCCAGTTGAATGGGATGTTTCCATTTATCATGGCATTCACCCAGATTGTCTGCAGTTTTTTCATCTTAAGTTTCGAAGCGTTAATTGACAGAAGCCTTGATTGCGAGAAGGACGAATGATGTCGTTTTGCCGTTGTAGTACTGGGAATTGTAGTCGAGAGCTCGTCAGCATTGGCGCAGATTTCCTCGACCAACTCCAGCTCTTGATTCGAGTCATCCATTTTCTGCACTGCCAGCGTTACAGGTCTTAGACTAGTTTGTCGCAATTTCAAGTCCGTCAGATCTGCAACGTATTTCTGCCGAATTGCGGGTGGTGCACTTGAACAGGTGGACGTATGTTCCTTGCACCTTGTGGCATGTTCTGTTATTGTTTTATGATTGCAGTGTCGGCAAGTTGCCTTGTCACCTACAACCTTCCACTCCAGCCAAATTCGATCTGCCGTTTTCATGGCGCTTGAAATATATCTGAAACAAATAAAAAGGTTAAATAAATAATATTGCTTTGATGCCACAAACCGAATTTTCCATTTAAAGATTACGAAAATCTTTACGCGATTTAGTAAATCCTATTATATAATAGTAACTTACCAATTTATCTGTCCTTGTAATACATGAAGATCAATTATAACGGTGTAAAATAATTAACAAGTTATTTCTTCATCATCGATCAAGTCAAGTTGAATCAAAGTTGAAATGTGCACAGATTGAATAAAGCGGAGAAGTTGAGTCAGTATTAAGAACTCGATGGCTCTGAAAATGTCCACTGACATGTCATAAATGTCATGACATTTATGACATTTATGAAATTTTCTGTATATGTCAATTTGTCATAAATGTCTGACATTGACACCATCGGTAAATGTCTGACATTTATGACATTTGACATTTACGACGGACAAATATGACATGACAAATATGACATGTAGAACCCTATATATGACTTAACCGCCTTGGTTTCAATGTTGAATCCGAGTTATGATGATTTTGATACCGTTATAATGTTATGACCGGACGGAAAAAATTTATTACTACTCGGAATCACAATTGTAACCAAGGCGGTTAAGTCATATATTGACACCGTTTTGTTTTGAGTGTAATTATCCCGTGCAATTTTAGAAAATTTGTGTATATACATGTGTTACATTTAATTCTGCCAAAAACGTCATTCCATTCGCGACTTGAAGGGACCACTTATCCAATTGTGTCGGGTCTCGTGAGTTTTCTGGGTCATCCCTAATTCGGCGTAAATACTGGATCAAACTTCCATGGCGACAAAGTTCCATGATAATGTTGACCGGTCCTAAAGGATTACTTGGTGTTTCTGAAAAACAATATAAATTGTGTAAAATTTATGCGCAATTTTTGTTTGCAAAAGTTATGGATTAAGTTTTGCAAGTTCGGCACAGTCTACGTAACTATGTAGCTTATATAGCTTGTATAACTAAGGAGGGGAGCTTCACCACCTGCCCTTCACAGATCTCGATGCCCTTTGGATATGTGGTAGGGTCCCATCAGTGTACTAAAACCCTGAAGTGGTTTGACTCCATGGCCACATTTGCGCCCGCCACACCCACTCAAAGGCGCCAAAAACACGAAAAAAACCCTGTTTTCATGTGCTTTAAATGTCACCAAACATCCAATTTTGCTCGGCTTTGATAAAATTTACATTTTTGTGATCCCAGATACTTGTGTGATCATATCCAGTAGATATCTCAACTTTTTTGAAATTTTGAATTTTTTCGAGTAATTGATCAGCTCGAAAATTTCGAAAATTTCGAAAAAGTTGAGATTGCTACTGGATTTTATCACACAAGTATCTGGAATCACAAAAACTTAAATTTTATCAAAATCCGAGCAAAATTGAATTTTTGGTAGATTTTTGAAGTTGGTAACTTTTGTGGTTTTCATCCCTTTGAGTGGGTGTGGGGGGCGCAAATGTGGCCATGGAGTCAAACCACTTCAGAGTTTTAGTACACTCATAGGACCCTACCACATATCCAAAGGCCATCGAGATCTGTGAAGGGCAGGTGGTGAAGCTCTCCTCCTAAGTTTGTTACCAGAATTTAGGAAACAGGCTCCCAAGAAAGAAATCACGTTGGGATGCGTCTTCCCCTCCCGTGGGATCATTAATCTCGCCATGTTTTTCAACTCTTGGAAAATTACTGTGCTGTTGATCGTCTTGGAAACTATCTTAATCGCGACTGGTGTCGTTGTGGAGGATTTTCCGTGGTGCGACGAGGACCTTACCTGACCGGGATGAACGGTAGAAGAGAATCCCGTCCCGATTGAAATGGCTTCCACTAAAGTCAAGACATAAATTAATTTATTTACCGTATTAAATGTGAGTTTGTGTCAGTACCAAAACTAAAGATTGGCTTGAAAAATAGTAATATGCAAAATTTCCCAAAGTATTAGTTGGCAAAAAATTGGAAATCGTAAATAAACCATTTTCACATGGCTGTATGAGAATTCTTACAAGGGAGGTCTCCTAGCGTATGCTCTCCGATTTCGACAAATCTATGTCCATCCATCAAACATTTAATTAAGTAGAAATTTACACAAAGAAATATTTGCATCTGATGAGGAAAAACCCCACAGTAAATTTCGAAAGTGTAGAACTTGCCAACTCTGTGGCGCGGTTCAGATGCAAATATCTACATAAATATGTGCCAAACGTGCCTATTGGGGGACTGCATCTCTAAGATATTTCATACTAATTCAATCATGATTGCTTGACACAATTTGGCCAAAATCGGAGCACATCAAACCTGGGTCAGATCAGAGAAATACGCTCCGATTCGATCCGTTTCTAGGATTTTAAAAAAATATCCGATCCAATCCAAACAGATCGGATCGAGCCACGGATTACCCGAAATAACGGATATCCGACGCAACTCTGGAGTGCATATGGTAGGAGACTTCTGCTTAAATCGGAATTGGATTCTGGAAACAACAATACTCTACATTTGTATAAATACATATTTGCATACCTTTAATTCTTCTTGCTGGAATGGAACGAATGTTTAGTTCGTCTTTGCCGCTCTTGTATTCTGTATCATGTGATGATCTTTTCTTCCTCAGATTACCAGGCTTCCGAACCTGCTTTAAATTTTTAACGTGCAGAAACAAAAGCGTAACTGTTCCCAGGACATGGCAAATGTTGAATACGAAAAGAATGCAAAGGGCGACAAATCGAACATTCGTCAGGACAAGGACATCCTTTTCTTGCGAAGTCCATAAAACTTTGGTGGCTCCAAAAAATGCGATAAAAAGCCACATCGCGTTACTACAACGTTTCAAGTGAGGAATAGATTTCTGAAATAAATTAAAATATTCTCAGAAATTGGAAATTTACAGGTAATTAAATAATTAAATACTTCGCAATCATAAGGCGGGTATGCATTTAAGAAAATTTTCTTAAATAAATAAGTATGTGTTGAATATTTGTAAAAATAACAACAAAATACCTAACGAAATACGAAACATTTATATTTACTCAAAAAGCGTACATAAAAATTTAAATTTCCAAACACTTATTTTTGAGAAATACATATGTATCTGAACGGTTTAACCATGCGTTGTTGAAATAATGGAAGCAATGTTTATAAATAAATGTGCCTGAAAATCTAAAAATATTGAATAAGATGTAAAAAAAACATTTTGAAATTTTTGCGTTGTAGGGAAAAAACAGAGAAATTTTAACCATCAGTCGTCATCAATCGAAAATAAATACATTTCCGTCCTCTGATCAAAAGTAATTTACCTGTCTCAAACCGATCAGTAAATTGTATAAGATCATTCCTAACAAAATTGTTATCGGCAGGGTCAAAAATGGAGAACAAACTGTGTACCAAATTTCTAGAAATATTGTCACGATATAAATTAGATACGATTAATTGAGATTCCAAGTCAAAATTCTTGGAAATATTATGTAAGTAAGCTAACCCGAAAAAACTGCACGTCTCCAGTCACTATTAATATAGATGGAGATACGATTCCAGAACAGAAATATTAGTGCCTGTAATATTAAAGTGGTTAATAATTTGTTGAGATATGGATATGCAAATTCCGTCCTTGAGGGGACTGCAAAGTCGATGGGACAATTTGGGCAAACATTGCACGACATGTTTCAAATTTTAAGAGTTTGGCAATTTTATAAGGTTCTCAGGTTTTCGAATATTGATAAATTTTCATTTGCTATTTTTTCGGAATATTTTTTTTTCAAATACACTAGGGGACAATATTGAGTAAATTGGAAGAATGATTTCATTCAAACATGGAAATCTCAAAAACTATAGTATGGAAATGAATAATTTCTTTTGCATAATGTGTAGGATTTAAGTAACTATAAAACCAAAGATCAATTAAGGTACTGAGTATAACCGCTTTTTTGAAAATATGCCCGAATCGTGAAGAAAAAAATATGGAAGGGTCAAAATTGAGTAAATTTTTCAGACTTTTGCTATTATTTTCTAAAGAAAGATATCAATTTGAATTTTTTTGCGATTAATATCTAGTTGAACCTCCTTTAGCTTCAATCACGGCAATGCAGCGGCTTCTCATCGAGTTGACGAGCGTTGTTGTTACTTCCGGTGGAGTAGTTTCCCATGCTTCGGAAAGCCGCTTTTTTACCTCGTTTTTGTTCGAAATAGGCGTTTTTCGAATTTCCCGCTCAATGTGATCCCAGAGGTGCTCAATTGGATTCAAATCGGGACTTTGTGGTGGCCAGTCCAGCACCGTTATCTTCTGGGTCTTGAAAAACGCCCAAGTCGACTTAGCGGTGTGCTTGGGATCCTTATCTTGTTGGAAGATAAAACGCCTGCCAAGTTTCAGTTTTGCTGCCGAACTTTTGACATTCCTGTCGATTATGCCCTGGTAAACATGTTGATTCATGGTCGTTTCGACAAATTCCATTTTTCCAGGACCTGAAGAGCTGAAACAACCCCACACCATGGCGCTTCCTCCACCATGCTTGACAGTGGGGTTCAAATTCTTCATTTTCAGAGCTTCCTTTTTCTTCCTCCACACTTTGATCCGACCATCCGACCCAAAAATGTTGAATTTGCTTTCGTCGGACCATAAAACTTTGTCCCAGAAAGCTTGGTCCTTGTTGAGATGCTCCTTGGCAAACTTCAGTCGTTTCTTCATGTTCGTCTTGGAAATGAAGGGCTTTCTCTTCGCTCGAAAATTTTTGTATCTATTCGAATTTAGGATTCTTCTGATAGTCTTAGGACTGGTCTTCTTTCCTGTGGCAGTTTCAGTAGCATTCGAAATATCCACGGCGCTGGATCTCGGATTTATTTTCACAAACTTCACGATTGAACGTTTCTCTCGGTCCGTGAAAGTCTGCTTTCTTCCCCTACCTGCCTTGTTGGCAATGCTGTTTGACTTTTTATAGCGGTCAATGATCTTCCAAACAGTTGTGTACTTGATTTTTAAAATTTCTGATATTTCTTTTAAAGTTTTTGACCCATTTTCGTCTCCTTCCCATGCGTCAATGATGCGCGCCCTTTCTGCCACCGTGGTCTCAGTCCTGACCTTTGACATCCTAATTGGAAGAATAAAAATGTTCACAAGTTGTATCTACACCACAATGACCATACTTGATAGAAAGATTTGCTTACCTTATCAAGTTATAACGACAAAATTAAAAAATCTACTCAATTTTGTCTATCCCGTATTTTTTTCTTTACAAATCGCGCATTTTTTCAAGACAGGATATATACCCATTACATGTATTTATGTTTGACTTCGTAGCTGATTAAATTCTACACATTATGCAAAAACAATTATTCATTTCCATACTATAGTTTTTGAGATTTCCATGTTTGAATGAAATCATTCTTCCAATTTACTCAATATTGTCCCCTAGTGTATATCCGATATTGCGTAATAGTTTTTGCTCCACAATGATAGTATTTTGGAACGAAGTAATATTCCACGTATTAAGAGCATACTATGTTCCACGGGAAAATACTTAGTAGCAATTTGCTTGCACTTTTAACTCAGCAATATTTTTGACGACATCGAAGGGACGGAGAAAATTCAATTATAAACACCTTGACGTTGCATAAATATGCGAATATGGCGAACTTTTCGCTTACTTCCCAACCCCTCCCAAAACCTTCGAGATTAATTACTTTTCTGTCCGTTTTAAAAGTTTGAAAAATTAGTAGAAAAATTTGGAATTTGTGAAAATGCAGGAACTAAAACTTAATTCAATTTAATTCTCAAAGCGCCCATTTTATATTTCTTGAACTCAGGTACAAATTCAAAGACACAATATTTTCAAAAGCTAACGTCTTGGCTGAAAATAGTTTTTAAAATTGAACCAAGTGGTAAGAATATAAAAATATACAATTGTACACATTTGGGCCTGACGCCGTCAGACTACAGACTGACTAACAATGAGATGACGCCAGCGGTTTCGCTCCGATTTTGGCGAAATCACGATGATTATGTAACCTTAGACAAATAATTGAACACGTGTTTCAGGAATCATAATGCTCAGTTTAAATGAAATTATGACGGAATCCGGGAGCGAGAATTTCCATTTTTATCGTGAAAATTTTCTCGCGAGGGAGAAAAATACAGATTCTCGCATACGAAGGAGTAATGAACTTTTAGGGTGCCGGCGGGCCACGGCTTTTTATTATTTAATTTTTGAGATTAGTATAGGGCAATAATAGATAAATAACGTAAAGTTGAAGAAAGTTGCCTCCAACCACTTTTGGGGCTCGAAAACCGAAGATCCCGACAACTTGGTTTTTAAAGGCTTCCGGGGGCAATATTTAATAAACAAGCCCCCAAAAAAGGGAAATCTTAGTGAGGCTGGGTACAGCTATCAATATTAAATACATTTTTCGGAACAGCATTTGAATCACGACTCTCCAAACTATTTTAGCCTAGATGATTTAATTACTGGTAGAATTATTGATTACGTACATTGTAGATGTACAAATTGAATAACAATGAGCGTACTCACATCAACCTTCGCATATCTCGCAAATTGAGCATAGAAACATAACTTGCGAAGTTTTGCGTGATATGCGAGATTTCGCAAAAATTTTGCTGGAAAACCATGGGATTTTTTTTCGCAAATTTACCCAGCAATTGGACTTTTTTCTGAGGTGAGGAAAGTAACCAAGGGCTACCCTCACGACAGAAAAGCGCATGGTTACGGCGAACCCAAGGTATGCTTTCAAGACAGGGTCCTAAAACTTCTGTCAACGCTACAGCTCGACCGGTTGAATTTAGTGAAAAATTGTTGAAACAAAAAAATCAGACAATTA